AATTTTAATAATTAATAATAATAATAAATTTATTGATTAATAATAATAATAATTTTATTTCTAATTTTAATGGAAATAGGGTGGTTTTCACGAGAACTAAATCCCATAATCAAGTTTTCATTTCGCGATATAATTTTTAATTTAGATCTGTCGGAATTGTATGTCAGATTTTTTTTTTTTACGCGAGAAGGTATTATTGCTTTCTTATTTTTAGACGTCGCCGGTCGTGTTGTCAGGCATATTTTTAGTAATATCGAAGCAAAAGGTCGGACGCAAAAACGAAAATGACGATTGTATCACGTGGCTATTATAAAAATGCTCGACGCGTCTTGACCTCGGATAAAAACTGTGCCATGGTGTGTTTCCACGAAGGAGACATAACAAGTAGTAATGATGGCCGTTTGAAAGAGAAGTGCTTTATTTCTTCGAAATTAAGAAATTTATATTAAGAAAATTATAACATCAAAAATATAATTAAAACTGTTTTAATTATATTTTGCGAAATTATTTGTTATATATCCAGAAATATAATTTAAAATCATTAATGTAAACGACCCTTAGAAAAATAAAAATACCGAGCCTAAAGTATTAGAGCCATCACTCGTTATATTTAATATATATTCTTAATATTTATATTTTCTAATATATATATCGATATAGATGAATATTATTGACCCAATAATCGTGGAAGAAAAAAAAAAGAAGAACGTATATCGACACTTTCTAGTATTAAAATAACAGGGCATCTCTACAGTAAAATCCAAAGAAACTCAAGCAGAACGAATATAATTAAAACTAACACGTGGTAGACGTTTAAAAGCATAGCAGACAATTAACTGCATTCCTCGTGTGGTAATTTAATCGTCGAGCTGGTCGTCACGACGAAAGAAACTTTCTTTTTGGCTCGTCGTGGCCGGCGATGTGAGAAACGCTCGACGAAAGTCGAGCTACAGTGTATGTCTCTCTTTCTCCCTCCTCTCTCTCTCTCTCTCTTTCTCTCACACATCGCGTGTGCGGAGCCGAGCGTGTATATCGTGCGTAGGCACGATTGCGCACGATATATACCTTACGTTGACAATATCTTTCTAGCGTGCGTGACGAATGACTCGAGCACACGAGGCGGCGTCCGTTTTCGACTCATCTCGAATCGTTCGCCGAGAATGGACGAGCCGAGAATAACCGTGTGGGTGTTTTAATCTTAAGCTCTAAACTGCGTCTCAGGGAAAAAAAAAAACACCCGGAAACTCGATAATAAAAGATACAGTCGGTGCTTCTTTGGATTTTCTCTTTACCACAGAGTAAAAAATAAGATATTGGAAAAAACGAGAGTAGAAGAAAAGGAGAAAGCGCGAGATGTTTCAAAGGGGACATGTCGATATTCTTTTTTTGATTGTTGAAAAAAGCAGTTGATCGTTTTTGAAATATTAATATCTTCCTCGAAAGCAGAGATGGGTACATACACGCATATTATTCGAATAAATTTTTATTCACTTTGTTATTTGATTAAAATTCTATTTATGTTGTTTGCATTATTTGTTGGTATTTGGATTTTTTATTCCTTATTTATATTATTTGTTACTATAATATTAATACAATAAATATTATTTGAGTTTTCATTAAATGTGTAAGCACAAGCATTCGTGTATAATTTAATTTGTCTTTTAAATTTGTCTAATTTATTTCAGTTTTTTTCGTCAATTTTTTAATATAGGTTTTGAAACTAAAATTCTTTAACTAAAATGTACACGATAAAAAATATTTTACTTTCATCAATATTTATATAAATAATCAGGATAACGAAAATACTTTCCGTATAATTATTTTAAAAATTATTTAAATATCTGTTTAATCGAATAAATTGTTATTGAAATGCAAATGCATTTGTCACGAATGAATTATAAACTATCTCTTTTATTTATTATTCAGATAAAATGTGGTCCATTTTACTGCTCGTAAAATATAGTTTGATGATTATAAACGGAACGAGTTTCGATAGACTTGGCTTTATATTTTACTTACTTTACTTCGCGAATCAAGAAGCCGAAGCGATCGAGACCTTAACCCAAATTTGTTTCACATTCCAAAATACGCACTACGTTTTCCAACATCGAAATCTCAAGGTAGATAGCATGAGAGTAAAAATATCGGTATGAGAGGTGGGAAAGAGACGATATTTAGTCTAAAAAAAATATTACGTGACACACAAAAGGATTGCTTTTATCCTTTTATATTTTTCTAAGTGATTACTAGGGTCTATCAGATAATTGTGACACACACAGTAATAAATGTAATGCGTTTATATACAGGGTGAGTTTTTTAACTTGAAACTGTAAAATATCTCGGAAAGTAAGCTTTATCGAAAAAAATGTTTCAAACAAAAGTTGTAGGGTTCGGAGGGGGCCATATGATAAAAATATGGATTTGACCTTGAGTGACCTTTTCAAGGCCAAGTCACTGTGATCGATGTTTTCTTAAATGGAACCCCCCTTTTTTATTACATATTCTTGTAGCTTATCTCGAGAGCTTTTCAAAACACTATGATAAAGTATTTTTTCATTAAGTACTTTTTGAGTTTTTTTATATTTTAATCTGACATATTTTGATATAAAAAATAAAATATCTCGTAAAATATTTAGTTTTCGATAATCTTACCGTAATACTTTTATGTACAGAATAATGAGACAAATCAATTAGTATAAAAAAAATAATTGTTTTTAAGAAAAAGTATGTAATTATTTACAATGTATTTTTTTAAACAATTATTTGTTTATACATTGTAAATAATTGTAAATTATTACATACTTTTTCTTATACTACTATAAATTATAAAGTATATAAGCTGCATAAATATTATTATAAATAAATCTATTTTTTTTTTTTTAACATATACATATGTATATGTATGACAAATTTAAATAATCGCGGGCTCCAGATGCGGATGGTAGCGCGTCACTTTCATAGTGAAATAAGTTTATGTGCACAGAGCATGCTATATAATTTGTCTCTTGTGCAAGATAGCTCGACAAATTCCAGAATATGGAAGGATCGAGTTTTTGTATTATCATAAAATGAAATGCATCGTCGATGATTTTAGCACGATTGAGAACATGTACTTTTGTATATTCTCCAGAGTTCAAATATTTTGCAATTCTTTGCCAGTTTTCAGGATCGTAATTAACACGATAGTATCCTGTAGTAAATAATTTTTGTATATTATAAAATCATCATCTAATACGGAATTTATTAAGAAATATTATGATTATAAATTCAAAATTCTGTTATATTTTCCTTAAGACTTAAAGAGAAATGTTTCTCAAATATATACATTTTTATAAATTATAACATTTTAGATCGATAATAGTTTGTGATTTCGTGCTGTTAAGCTATGTAAAGACTTGCAAAACAATCTATATTCATATCCTGATCATTATCATTTAAATAATAATTAAATTATAATCAAAAAAGGATTTTTCTCACGGATTCAATAATAACAGAATGCAAAATATTTTGTATATTTAATATTTTTTTATATATTATAATATTATCTTATTATTTGTGTATCTAATGCATTCTTACTAATAAAAGAAGATAATAAAATTGTATAATGCCGTAAAAAAATCAATTATATAAAATAAATGTAGAAATATAATTAATTTTTTGGGTAAATATGCATAAAAGGTTACACCTCACCGATTTTATCGCTACTTAAATATGTTGTGGAGGTTCTTCTAAATAATTCCCCGTAAGAAAATAGTGGGGGAAAGCATTCGTTTAGAAAATATAATAAATTGAAATTTCACAATTTTAATGCTTTCTTTGAAGTATTATATAATAAAATTAGGAACAGTGATATTTGTGTACATTTTATTTCTTGCAGAGGACGTAGGAAATGTTTTTGTTTACATTTACAAGATAAGTACAGAGTCATAGATGGGTTATATAACGTAATCCAAACCAAATTTTAGTTTTAAATCAGAAATAGATTTGGGTTAGATTATATCTTCCGGAAGTGGAGCCCCCCACCCCGTAGGGGAGGCGGAACCCACTGCATCCACGCATACACTTTCCCATCCACACAACAATAGTGGAGTGGACCTCGCTTCGCGTTGTAAAGTATATGTAGACATAGTGGGTTCCGCCCCCCCCCCCTATGGGGGGGTTCCACTTCCGGAAGATATAACCTAACCCAAACCTATTTCTGATTTAAAATTAAAATTTGATTTTGATTACGTTATATAACCCAAATTGTAGCTTCGGGGTGGAATTTTTTCGGGGCGGGGAGGCAGGGGGAGAGGCCCTGCTTCTCCCCCGCCCACGTGTTAAAGTCGTAAGCTTTTTTCAATAAAAAAATAATAGATTATTACAGCATACACAAACTTTAATGTCAAATTTTAATTTGTCATATCTTCTAAACATAAACGAATGCTTTCTCCCACTTTTTTTTTGCGACGAATTACTCAGAAGAACCTCCCCTACAACATATTTAAGTAGCGATAAAATCAATAAGATGTAACCTTTTATGCATATTTACTATTTTTTGTTTACTACTTACCAGCTTGTTGTAAATTAAATATCACCCAACCATCTTCTATTATATCAACTTCTTCACTAAACGATGGTGATATAAGTATTAATCTCTTATCATAAAGCGGAGAAGCAAAATTCATAAAATTAAGATTACTCTGCATAGTAAACGTTACAGGTATCCATTGCTCGTCTTTCGCAAAAAGATCGTGATTTTCTATTGTTATATTCATTTTTTTTGCAGAATAATTTCGCATTATTTTCAATATAGGATAATTCACAAATTTTGTCCAAACCCTTATTGGATTTGTGGAAGGAAGTGTGGGTACCTCGAGATTTAAGTCATTTAATTCATTTACAGTATCTTCCATAACAGTCCAGAAATCATCAGCAGTCGAATTAAACGCACTGTAATTGTAAAATTTGGTATTATTGACATAATTAAAACTATACTAAAATTGTAAGTTATCTAAAAATATCAAAGTATTATTTATG